CAATTCTTCCATCACTCCTAAATGACCACCCCATACAGCACAGACACCCCACTTGTGCTTGCTGCCCCCTCACAATAAAACCAGCCTGAGTCAGCACAGCATGGAGGGGCCACCAGCCCAGAAATCATCCACCTTGCTGTCCACTCCCCCTCTCAGAGGCTAGCAGAGCAAAGGTCATACTCGCGAGGGAAAGGGGTCCCTGGCAAGAAAGAAGCAAGGTTGTGTGGCAAAGTCATAGCTTTTATTGGTGGAGGAAATGCCAAGAGAGAAAGGTACGCAGGTGTAGGGCTGCCAGCCAATCGCTGCAGTAGGGCTCCTGTGCCTTGGTGTGGTGGCTCTCCAAAGGGCGGACGGTAGCCACGTCCCTCGTGGCTGCAGCGCTATGTTGTGAGCACCTTCGCAGGTGTCACACAGCTGTCAAAGCTGCCTGGAAGCATCCTGGCCACTAGTGCTGGAAACAAGGTAGGTCTCCCATCCTAGTCTGCACAAAGCAGCGTGTGGGAGAAGGTCCTGTGGAAGGGAAGGCAGAGAGAGGGTAACAATCAAAACAGGCAGGAATAGTAGCAGCCTTGGATGCACAATAGATAAATGCATGGAGGTGAGAGAGAAAATGAAACAAGGGCCCCCTGAGTGCTTATGCGTCAGTCTACAGTGACTGGGGCTGCAGTGGACCCCTGGCAGCATGGCATGACAACAGCTTGCTCTACTCCACCATGCATCTGGGCAGTGATCTTGCAAGGCCAAAATAATGGTGAGTGTTTTGGCTGGCACTGGCTGGAATGGATTGCCTCGCATTCACAGACAGAGAGCTTGCCAGCAGGGAGTGGGGTGGGTGAGCACTTGCCCCATGTGGCAGACGCCGCTCCGCGGCGTTGCAGCTGCACAGCTTGGGCGAGAGACAATATTCACACGGAGCAAGGGGCATACGATTGCAGAGGATACGCTTTTTGCAGAACGTTCCCGCCCCGCTTCCCTTGCTTACCTGTGTGGGGTGCTCTGTCCCATCATTCCCAGCTCTGGCAGTGGGACTGTTGGCTGTTGGGGTTCTAGGCAGAGAAGTGTTAGCAATGTGCTCCAGCGTCATCTCTAGAGAGAGATGGAGAGATGCTGCTTGGTGCAGTGCTTCCTTTATTTATTACTGGGAGGAGAGGAACACAACCTGAGACAGGAGCCAGCAACAGACCCATCACCACGGTTATCATCTAAGTGCTCCTAACCTGGGGCCAGGCATATATACAAAGGAACATTCCGTCTAGCTCAGTGCCGTCCACACTGACTGGCAGAGGCTCTCCAGGGTTTCAGGCAAGTGTCTCCCCCAGGCCTACTTGGGAGATGCCGGGGATTGAACCCAGGACCTTCTGCACACAAAGCAGATGCTCTACCACTGAGCTGTGGCCCTTCCCCTATGCATTGTTTATTTATTTGCTCTGTTATGTATACCCCATCTTTCATTCAAGGGAAGGCACAAGCCTGTCTCTTCCCCGGTTCCACCCACCGTGTCTTCACCCTCTTTCTGATGCTACATTGGCACAGTTGCTTTGGCACAGAAGGATAAGGTGCCATAGTGTTGCCCCAGGGTATTGGCACAGTTCTGCTAGTGCCCTCCAGGTGTTCTATACCCATCAGCACCAGCCAGCACAGTTGGGTCACATTCTGCTGGCATAGGGGCCTTTGTGCCATATCCTTGTAGCCTTTTATAGCCTGCATTAGCTATCGCACCCTCGCTTATCCATTCACAGGGGAGTTTTTAACCACATTTGCTTCTCATTTGTTTGGTACTGTCCACGATAAACTCAAGAGATATGCTCTGAAGAAAAATGACTTCAGGAGGTATAGTTGCTAATGGAAGATAATCCTGCCGTAATACACCCATTTGAATTCAGTCCATGATCCACTCCCGGTCACAATAAACACCCCTTGCTCACAATCAGATACAATGCTGGTAAGAAACCAGCCGCTTTAATAGGGTGAAGAATAAGACCTCGGAGAATGGGGCAGTCTTTCATTCAGAACATCTCTGTGAAATCATGAATCAAAGACACACAGGGTTTGTTTGATAGATGAGGTCACACTGAGCTAGAAAAGAGATGGGAGAGCAGCTTCCCAGCTCAGGGACACCACATAGCAATTATCTATACTTTCATGAATTAAAAAGTTGCTATGTTCCAGCATTTTAGTTTCACCTTTAAAAAAAAAAAAGTAGTAAATTACAGTATGTTTTCCTAACTGCAGTTCACACACATTTAATTAAATGTCTGGATTAAAGGTGTTTTATTCAGCTTCCTATTATTCTACCAGCAACATTAAAGCCACACACCTGTCATGACTCCCTCTCCTTCACTTTGATGCACTAGACTAGAGCATGTCTTTGCGATGGGGAGGGGGACAGCATAAATTTAGCTTTTAACCTGCATTTCCCCCTAAAATAGCAACCTGGGGGCTATGTGCATGATTTTCAAGGGGAAATGCTCCCGCTTCTGCTAGAACCACTATCCATATCCAAATGGCCCCCGTCTTTGCTTTATTATTACTATTCTTCTTATTATTATTATTAGAGAGGTGACCCCAGTTCTCTAATGACTCATCTACTTGGATTTCATAGATACAGAAAGGTGCATTTAACTTTCAAAAAATTTCATCGTGTGGCAGACAATAATGTTTTTGTTTTCCGTTTGAAACAGGCCTGTGTGAAATACTTTAAAAAATCTTTATAGCCTGTGTTCTTGTGTCTAATATTAACATTATCTTCATAAGTCTAGCCATGACTGTTTCAAAAGAAAACCAGGCAAGGAGAATATAATTCCACCCCGCCTAAAGAATCTGTTTAAAATTCTGCCGGAAGCTTATCTTAAAAGAGCCATCAATCGACTCGCCAGGCTCAAGAATGAGAAAATGGAAATGGAAACGCATATAAAACCCATAAAACCAAGGGAAAGAAACTGAACTGGGAAACCTCAATATTTCTTTCTTCCTACAACCCTACCCCAGAAGTTTTTCTGCTCTGGGGAATGGAAATTTGCTGAACTAGTGAGCAGACACAAAAGAAGTTCCACTTGGAACTGCAAGCTGATTCACACGTGACATTCAGAAACATGTGTCAGTAGCATTTGTGAAATGAATTGCCAGTGTTTATTTTGGGACAAGTATATACTTGAAGATGCTGCATACCACCCTTCCCAAGTAACAAGTGTACATTCTGCCCACCTGCCCTTATATGAAGATCATGGCTGATTAGCAAAACCATCAAAAATAAGGCAAACCTAAACAGGGAAAAGGGACGCAGGTGGCGCTGTGGGTAAAAGCCTTAGCGCCTAGGGCTTGCCGATCGAAAGGTCGGCGGTTCGAATCCCCGCGGTGGGGTGCGCTCCCGTTGTTCGGTCCCAGCGCCTGCCAACCTAGCAGTTCGAAAGCACCCCCAGGTGCAAGTAGATAAATAGGGACTGCTTACTAGTGGGAAGGTAAACGGCGTTTCCGTGTGCGGCTCCGGCTCGCCAGAGCAGTGATGTCACGCTGGCCACGTGACCCGGAAGTGTCTCCGGACAGCGCTGGCCCCCGGCCTCTTAAGTGAGATGGGCGCACAACCCTAGAGTCTGTCAAGACTGGCCCGTACGGGCAGGGGTACCTTTACCTTAAACAGGGAAAGGCACAAATATTGTACAAAATGAATTAAAAGTGAGGTTGCCTTCAGCTGCTGATGCAGGAAATCTTTCTGGAAAGGGCTATTTTTCACATCACTGTTGGCTGAGGCGGCAGATTATTTATCTCTCATTTCAGTAAATGGGTTTATAACTGGATTGCATCTTTAAAAGCCATCATTCTTCCCTTGGCATGTACTATGGTAAGATCCCATAGAACAAAGCATCTTGCGCTGTCCTGTGTGGTACCTATAGAGTCATTTCAGCAAAATATACCTAAGCAGTGAGCAGGAAAAGGACTGTGTCCCATCTCTGCACAACACTGCGCATGATCATACACATTCAACGCATGGGCAGTCATAGAGCATTCAATCAGTACTCCGCTTTTTGGAGTTCAGTCCTTGCACTGACTTTTCAAATTCACCAACCATATACAGTGGTACCTCGGGTTAAGTACTTAATTCGTTCCGGAGGTCCGTTCTTAACCTGAAACTGTTCTTAACCTGAAGAACCACTTTAGCTAATGGGGTTTCCTGCTGCTGCCGTGCCGCTGGACCATGATTCTGTTCTCATCCTGAAGCAAAGTTCTTAACCCGAGGTACTATTTCTGAGTTAGCGGAGTCTGTAACCTGAAGCATATGTAACCTGAAGCGTATGTAACCCGAGGCACCCCTGTACTCCATTCACATTAGAATCTGTGCTACTCCTTGCACAAGTGTGCAGCACTATGTGTCATCAGCCTTATCATCTTCTCCCAAAAAGTAGGAGCACCATTCAGACAGCACTACTCTGCTACACCAACCCCAAGGGTCATGGGAAGCAGCCCAGAGAAAACTACAAAACTGGCAGGCACGCAACTGAGCAATGTGAGGTAGGTGTAAAAAAGGATACAATTTGCATTGCTGGGACCAATCGTTGCTCCTTGTAAGTGGCGGTGCATGCTATATATAAAGCGTGTGTTCTTGAGAGAGAGGCAGAGACAGACAGAACATCCTTTTCACACCTTTCCTTAGGTACCCAGAAGGCGCATCAGGTCCGCCTGCTAATCTGCGCCCTGAAGAGCAGCCCTTTAGAGCTGTGATCCCGAACAACATCCTTCCGATTTATATTCCCTTTGCAATCCAAGGAAACTTTCGCGGGTTTCTCAGGATCCGAGGCTGCGAGACCACATGACACTGAAGAACGCCCCCCCCCCCGCATCTCTTTGCAAACTCCCCATCCCAACCAAAAAAACAGATCGCTAGAGTGTTTCATGAGCGAAGAGCATGCAGAAGACAATGCAATTACAGGAGTGGAGACATACATAAAATGCATTGAAAATAATAATGCATATTTTAAAAATGCCTCTTTTTTGGAAGGCTTTACCTCACGTTCGCAAACTTCCCTCGGGCAGCGCCGCGCCTGCCCGTTTTTCTGTGGAGACGTGGCTCCCTCTTGGAAACCTGAGCCTGAGCCGCCGCTGCTGCCGCCGCCGCCTCTTCTTCCTCCTCTCGCTCCTCTGCAGCCTGGACGGGTCGGAAGCGCCCCGCGGCGGCGAAGTCCCCGCCGGGCCTGGAGGAGGAGGAGGCGCGCGCCGGGCGGCTTCCCCCCGCGGCCGCTTTCAAAGGCGGCTCGTCGGCGTCGCTGCCCACGAAGAGGTAGAGCAGCAGCAGGAGCGCCAGGCAGAGCGCCAGGGCCACCACTTTGCAGTAGAGTTTCATTGTGCGCCGGGCGGCGGCGGCGGCGGCAGCCTCAGAGCCTCAGCCGCGCAAAAGGGGAGACGCCGCCTCGCCGCTCGTCGCCATGCCGCCCGCCCGCCCGACGGCAAGCTGCCTCCAGCCTGGACATCTTCTAAAGCGCCTTCCTCGCCGCCCGGGGCATTCCTGGAAGCGCGCGCGCGAAAGCGAGTGAGAGAGAGAGTTGGCAGCGGGCAGCGCCACACTAAGCCCGGCTGCGAGTGCGGCGGCCGAGAGAGGGAAGGGGGTGGGTGGGAGGAGCGAGAGGGTCGCCCCTACCGTAAAGTGAGGAATAGCACCTCTTCCAATAATCCGAAAGGGAAAGCCTCTCCGAATTTGCCGCTTGCTTTCCCCTCCAACATCCCGCAATCGGTGGTTAGTTAGTTAGTTATGCACTGATGAAAATCACAGAAGAAACTGCATATCTGTTACTGTTTACTATTGGATCCTAATGGCTTATTGAATTTATTATTGCTTTATTTGATATAAATTGTTTTAAAGTTATTGTGACTTTTTATATTGGGTCTGATTGGTACTATAAATGTTTGGTGTTGTTATTGCTGCTATTGTTGTTTTTAGTAGTAGTAGTAGTAGTACAGTAGTAGCGTTGGAAACCGCCCAGAGCGGCTGGGGCAACGGAGCTAGATGGGCGGGGTATAAATAAAATATTATTATTATTATTATTATTATTATTATTATTATTAGTTAGTTAGTTAGTTAGTGGCAGAATCGGGATTCAAGAGGACCTTAACAGGTTGAAGAACTGGGCCAAAACCAACAAAAAACAAATTTCAATAGGTTCAAATGTCAGGTTCTACACTTGAAGAATAATGGGCGTAGCCAGGATTTTCGTTGGGAGACGCATGCCTTTTGTTGGGGAGGGCAGAACCTCAGCTATGTATTTTTAGTGATTTTTATTTATTTAGCTGCCCCTCCCTGTCCCCCTGGCTACACCCATGGGAAGAATCAGCTGCACAGATATAAGATGGGGGACACCTGGCTTACCAGCAGTAGATGTGAAAAGGATTTAGGGGTCTTAGAAGACCACAAGCTTAACATGAGCCCATAGTGTGATGCAGCAGCAGCAAAAAAGCTAATGCTATTCTAGGTTGTACCAACAGAAGTATAGTGTCCCCATCAAGGGAAGTTATTCTGCCTTAGACCCCACCTGGAGTACTGTGTCTAGTTCTGGGTGTCCATAAGGATATGGAAAAGCTGGAGATTGTGCAGAGGAGAGCAACCAAGATGATCAAAGGTCTGGAAACCAAGCCCTATGAGGAATGGTTGAGGGAGTTGGGTATATTTAGCCTTGATACAAGGAGACTGACTGGAGATATCATAGACATCTTCAAATATTCTAAAGGATACCAGTATTTGAATATCACATGGAAGTTGGAGCAAGCTTGTTTTCTCTTGCTGTGGAGAGTAGGACCTGAACCAGTGGCTTCAAGTTACAAGAAAGGAGATTCCAACTAAACATCAGGAAGAACTTTCTGCAATATCTTGTGAGAGTTCCTCAAGATCTCACCAGAAGCTGCCATCACCACTAGATCTCTTTGCTTCTCTGATGGTGGTGCCAGCGGCAGGAGGCCACCCCTTGGCATTCTGCCGCCCAAGGCGGCTGCCTCAGTCTGCCTCATGGGCAGGCTGGACCTAGCTAGTAGCCACTAATAATCCTTATATCTACAGTATTTGTCCTTTAAAGCTATTCAGCATAGTGCCTGCTAATCTTGTGGTCCAATCATCATCAGTGCACACCATGCCTGTGGTGATCCAATCACTACCTCTTGTGGGAACAAATTCCATGGTTTAATTATGCACTGTGTTAAGAAGTTATTTTGTCTGTCCTGAATCTTCCAACATTCGGCTTCCCTGGATGTCCCTGACTTCTAATACAGTCGTACCTTGGTTCTCAAACGGAATCTATTCCGGAAGTCCATACAACTTCTGAAAACGTTCGAAAACCAAGGCATGGCTTCCGATTGGCTGCAGGAGCTTCCTGCACTCAGTTGGAAGCCGCAGAAGCCGCGTCGGACGTTCGGTTTCCAAAAAAAGTTCGCAGACCGGAACACTCATTCGGGAGCCAAAACATTCGAGTCACAAGGCATTCAAAAACCAAGATATGACTGTATTATGAAATGGAGAGCAAATCTCCTCTCTATTCACAGTTTGTGTGACTACTGTATTCCCATTTTGCAAATAAAAGGCCGAAGCTGAGCAATACTAATTTACCTCATAGCAACACCCAACGAAAGCAGGATTTGCTCATTGACAAGAACATAATAACTGGTTTGCTGGATCAGATCATCTGGTCCAACACTCAGAAACAGGGCGTGATAGTCTCTGTAGCTATATAATATGATTCATTATATGATTCATGTAATTTCTACAGCTCAATAGCAGGCAACGCATTGCAATATAACACTCGTTGCAAACTTCCACTCTCGTTTCTTTCATTAAATAATCTATTCCTTTAAGCATCTTGAAAATTTGGGCTCCATGTAGGATGAAGGCCTTGCTTCAGCATTTCCTAAAATTACAATTTAGGGCACTGCATTTTTTTGGCTCAAAAGGTTATGCCCAGTCTAGTCCAGTGTCCTGTCTGGTGGTTAAATCAGAGAATCCTAGTACATCTGGGCTCTTTCCAGTAATTTGCTGCATTACTCAGAGGAGCTGAGCATATGATTTGCTCAAGTGAACTATGATAATTAATCCTCCTTGGAAGAAATACAAGATGAGAACATGAAACAGTGAGTTGTCAGTAGGGTTACCAGTAACCAGGGAAAAACCCACCCTTTCCAGTTTGGGTGTATTTCCCCTCATCTTTCTCAAAGAGAGAGAACAAAGGTCATCCCCACATGCAGGAAAGCTCTCTGTTGACAAAAGCAAAGGCCATCAATTCCATCCACTGCAACAGTTGGCCAAACGTTCATGTGCATTTTTGCCTTCCAGGATATATACTGAGCACACCAAACAGCTACTGCCCACAGCAATCCTAAAAAGAAGAGTGGGAATAACCTACACTCACAGTCCCTGCAGGCTCCCCATACTCACAGTCAGAGGCGGGGATTTCCCCACCCCCAGCCTGGGGGCCACATTGCTCTCTGGAAAACTTTCCAGGGGCCACATGCCAATGATGGGCAGAGCAATGCATGTAAATGTTCCCTTTGTGCAATAGGCTGCTTTCCACATACCCTTTACTTTCCTCCATTGAGGCAAACAAGAGGCATGATCAGAGTTTTGGGATGCAATCCGGTCAGGTAAAAACACACAAGCAAGGCTATGGAGAATCCTAAGGGCCTGAGGGCCAAGACCTGATGTTTCCCATTCTTTCCCACAAAGAACAAAGGCATGAACAGTAAGTAGCACAACACTTCCGTAGCCCTACTCTATCTTCTCTTTCCCCTCCTCACAAACCCCCTGCTATGAAGTGACTATTTGCTTAAATTGCTTCTGAGTCAATGTGCACAGGATTGTGCTGTAAAAAACCACAGGAGTTGAATCTGCTCATGCAGAGACCACTCCTGTCTCCTTTGAAAGGGCTGGTAGGCTAGTGCAAGCATGAAGTCTTTGCCCCACAAATGCTTTGTAATAATTCGGACTTTTTTCCTGCACGCATGCACAGGCACACTTTCCCCCCGTTTTTCCATATGGCTTCCTGAAAGGGATGCCAGCAAGCCTGAGTGCTACGTAAAAGCAGAGGTCTTAAATATCACCCACTCAAGTGGATTGCGATGAATAACCTAGGCTGGCACATGCATAATCCGAAGGGTGTAGGTTGTACCCAATGTAAGTCCTACTCAGAGTAGACCCACTGAAATTAGACTAACTCACATCCATTCATTTCACTGGATCTGCTCTGTGTAGAACTTATCTGAATACAGCCACTATGTTGCACAAACCTGCCTTAGGACAAAAGAAATTTTATTGCTCTCTCTGAACTAGATTCAATTTGTCTCAGTGGTGACATTTTTAAAGGAAGGAGCTTGGCCTGATAGTTATGAATCTGCCCTGCCCAAAAAGAGCACTGAAATGTCTCCTTCTTTCTGTAAGGGGCAACTGATTTATGGGGGAGGGGTGTTGACTGTTGCGTATTTTTGTTTTTATGTGGCTTGAAGAATGCTTGGCCAGCATTGTCTGGAAAGCTAACTAAAACCAGATGTTTCTCTCTGTAAACAAAGCAAACCAAGTTCACGCCCAGTATAAACATAACATGATTCAAGTGGGATCTTTGCATGTAGTATGGTGAATTGCATAGGATACTTTCCATCTCTTTTTGCACCTGTACATTGCATACCGTCCTCATTTGGTGATCTCCCGTATCTGGGAAAACCAGCGATGACGTCACTTGCATTTTCATTTACACACTGCATATGCATTCAATAGATTGTGCGAATACTTTTAATCTGACAGCAGAGCATATGAGTCCCCTGTATCCAGGCATTAATTGATTATTGTGTGGATCAGAGGAAGGAAACCTGTGACCTTCCAAATATTGCTGGACTATATATCCCACCATCTCTGATGACTGGCCATGCTGACTGGGACTGATGTGGGTTGGAGTCCAGCAACAACTGAAGGGTTCTCCCCCCTTGCTGTCAAAGTAAGGTGACCTAAATCCACCACTGTGAGTTCTAAAAAGTTTGGGATCCAGTGTCTTGTTGTCACAGCTGGAACAGGTTAATGGAGCTTACTCCCAGGTTAGTGAATAAACCGACTTCATCCAGTGCACAAGATACAATGGGTGATATCCAACATCAATCATATTCAGAATAGACCCACGGAAATTAATGGACTTAAATTTTTTGTCCAGTGATTTAAAGGGGTCTGCTCTGAGTATGGCTAACATTGGATAATAACCAAGTAGAAACACACACTGGAGATTAAAAGAAAATAAAGTTCACCTCAGAACTTTGCCAGAACAGAAAATTATTTACCAAATGGCAGGGGTATGTGCGTTCAAATTACCGTATTTTTTGCTCTATACGACTCACTTTTTCCTTCCTAAAAAGTAAGGGGAAATGTGTGTGCCTCTTATGGAGCGATTGCAGGCTGCACAGCTATCCCAGAAGCCAGAACAGCAAGAGGGATTGCTGCTTTCACTGCGCAGTGATCCCTCTTGCTGTTCTGGCTTCTGAGATTCAGAATATATTTTTTTTCTTGTTTTCCTCCTCCAAAAACTAGGTGCGTCTTGTGGTCTGGTGCATCCTATAGAGCGAAAAATACGGTAACTGAATGGGACAAATTATTCCACAATA